GCACGCGCCACCATGCCCAGCTAATGTTTTTGTATTTTCAGTAGAGACGGGGTTTCACCATGTTGACCAGGATGGTCTCGATCTCTTGACCTCGTGATCCACCCGTCTCGGCCTCCCAAAGTGCTGGGATTACAGGCGTGAGCCACCGCGCCCGGCGCCTTTTTATTTTTATTATCAGTTTTTTTTGAGACGGAGTCTCGCTCCGTTGCCAGGCTGGAGTGCGGTGGCGCCATCTTGGCCCACTCCAACCTCCGACTCCCTGGTTCGAGCAATTCTCCCGCCTCAGCCTCCAGAGTAATGGGGACTACAGGCGCACACCACCACACCTGGCTAATTTTTGTATTTTTAGTAGAGATAAAGTTTCACCATGTTGGCTGGGATGGTCTCGATCTCCTGACCTCATGATCTGCCTGCCTCCGCCTCCAAAAGTGGTGGGATTACAGGCGTGAGCCACTGCGCCCTGCTGGTTTTTTCCCTTTTCAAAGGCTCTCCCATTTCTGCCTTCCACCTGGCTGGCTGATGGACACATTCAGGAGGTGGGGCAGGAGCACCGGTGGAAAGCAAGCCGAGAGAAGGCATACCCCCCCCCGCCCCGCCTCCCTCCGACACCACGGGCCAGGCCAGGTCCGGCCGAGGACCTGGCACCGCTGGACCCGGGCTGTCCCTCACAAGCCCCGCAGTCATCCAGGCTCCATCAGGCGCCCACCCCCAGAGAGCCAGGGCAGGCAAGCGCAATCAGTTCAGGGTTCACGTCCTGGCTTTGCACATGTGGCCTTGGGGGGGGGGGGGCGGTCTCTCCAGACATAACCTTGGGCTTCACCTGTGTCTCTGGAAAGTGGAGTGGGGGTACCTGATGAGGTTCTGGGAAGGGGAGATTATGAGAGCCCTAGGAGCCTGCTCGGCAGGACCGGGCCCAGGAGCGGCGCAGGTTCCAGCAACGCCGTCTGGGCGGGTCCTGGGGCCGGAGAGGCGGAGACCGCCCTCAACCTGTCTGAGTCTGAGCCTCCGCCTTTCCTCCCGGCAGCAGGGTTCGCCGTGCTGCGTCGCGCTCACCCTCCAGCAGCTCCACGTGGCCCCAGTCCTTCCTGCGGTCTTGGTCTTGCTCCCGGGGGCTGGCGGACGAGCTCCTCCTGGGGCCGCGGAGGCCACCGAGGGTCCCTGCGGGAGAGACGAGGGCGGCTGAGGCGGGCCGGGCGTGCGGGCGGGGGTCTCCGTAAGGGCAGAAGCCGCAGGGTGGAAGGGCGAAACCGCGCTAACCGCGGCGGAAGCTCGCTGAGCACGGGCCTGAGGTCGGAAACCAACGAACAGAGCGAAGGTGGAAAGGGCCCCGGCGCGGCCAACACGGGCGCAGAACCGCGGGGAAAGGGCTCCCCGCACTCCAGGTGCGGTGGGTCAAAGGTTAAGAGCCCTAAACCCCACACGGGGGGTCAGGAGGCCACAGAGCGAGTCAAAGGTCAGAGTGCACTGAGCAGACTCGGCCGGGAGAGCGGGCAAGGGCGAGCGGAAAGCGGGGCTCCGTCGACGGACCCCGCACACCCAGCCGCAAAGGGCAAAAGTCAAAGCGCCAAAGGCCCCCCCCGGAGCGAGAAAAGCCAAACATCACGGCCGCGCGGGGAGGAGCGGCCGCGGCGTGACCCCCGGGCTGCCTGGCCGTCTCCCTTCGCTTTACCTTCTTCGGCGGGGAGCCCTGGGCGGCCGCAGGGCCACAGGCCCCGTCCGAGACGCGCCGCACGGCGGCCCCAGAGAACCGCCATCATGCACGAGACTCCGGACGCCGCCGCCGCCGCCGCAGCCGCCGCCACAGCCCGCGCCTGCGCATGCGTCCACCCCGCCTGCCGGAAGTTGTCGTTTCGTGGCCGACGGCGGCCGCAAAGGGACGAGCGGCCGGAAGTGCACCTCCAGAACTACAACTCCCAGGATGCAGCGGGGCCCGGAAGCGCAGAGGCATGCGCCGGTGGAACGCTCGGATTGGCTATTCTCGCTGTCTTCAAGGAGGGGGCGGGACAGAGATTGCCGTGGTAACTGGGGGTGGATTCTCAGGCTGTCTTCGCGAGGACCTCAGCCCGAAAC